CTATACTCCGTTAGCCCCTTGCGACATAGAAAGATAGTGACGCACACGTGCTATGTGAGGGTCTCTTAGTCACTCAAGCCCTTAGCTTGTGGCTTCTCCAATTGTGGTTATGACATGGCGGCACCCTCTAAGTTTGTTGTCATGTCCTAGTTGGCTAGTGGGTCCTTCTTTTTTTTATATATTTTATTTTATCTTTAAAATATGATTATAAAAATTATAACAAATCACATAATTAACTAAAATTTATATTAATTAATTAAAAACCTATTTTCATAATTTAGCATAAGTATAAATCTATTTATCATGAGTTAAAATTTAAAAATATTATTAAATAATTATTAACTCATGATAATGAATCCTTATTAGTGATATTGAAGGTAGCCTCTATCCCTTGGCCTCCATTATTAGCTATCTATCTTTTATCAAAGAAGGAATTTTTCTAGCCTAATTAAACTTAAAGTGATAATGTTGACTCTCTATATGGTAAAGATAGGGGAGATAGCTAATTATTGTCATATATTAGAAGATAATGGGAAGTTCAATTATGTTCAATATGTTGACCTTTGAGATAAAGATGTGGCTGTGTCAAGTCACTGGGCCTAACACACAAGCAACAAAGCCTAACATACATGGGCCCACTATGACCAACTTGATAAGAGGAAAAGGGGGCATGGGTTATGTAAGGTGGGGGTGCCTCAAAACCCTGAATTATGGCTTATGTATGTTGTCTTCTTCCCTTTTTTCCCTTTCTTCTCTAGTGAAAACCTAGTTACAAGGAGACACCATCCTTATTACCCTCTCTCCCTCAATATGTAGGATTGGGGTTACACTTTGTATCAAAGCCATTATTCCTCTACAACTTGTGTTTCACCACCTTTCTCGACCCCACATCTCGCTCCAAGCCCACCACTTGGCTAATAGTGACCATGGGACCCAAGGACTTCAAAGGTCATGTGAATAACCTATAAGGTGATGTCTCAACTTTACAAAGTAAAGTATGTGCCCTACACAACAATGTGACTTAGATTGAGCACATGTTGGAGTGCCTTCTTTGACAAGTAATGTGACATAATCATTGTATAATAAATCATGTAAATTTAAAGTTTATAAAACTAAAGAATTTTATTTTTTATAAGTATTTTAATAGAAATAGATCAATTATAATTTGATAAAGGCTCCAAAAATAGTATAAATTTTTTAAGTCAATCATAAGAATATCTAATAAACTTTTAGAAATTTTCTCAAAGAATATATTTTTTATATTTCTTTGACTAATGATGAAGAGAAAATTTATTTAAAAATTCACAAAAAAGGAAAATTTAGGTACAATGTCAAGATGATGTTAACACCCTAATAAATATGATTTAGACAGAAATTGAGTAATGCTTAGTAATTCTTACATAAATGATTACATATGATTTAATTGGTCAAATTAAGATCTATATTAGCCGAAAGAATCGTACTTGACAAAAGAAGAGTTTTAAATTTTAAAATTATAAAAATCTCATTAATTTAAATAAAAATAAATTTTAAATAGAAAGACATAGTTCTAGCACCACGATAGTGATCACTAAAATTATGAGTATTCAAGAAGATTATTGTGCAATGTCCATGACTTCAAAGGTTCTCATAGGTAGGCATTCATGATGTGGACGATTTCTGGATTCTTTAACAATGTCCAGAAATTTATGAAATGAGTCAGTGAATAATCTATGACAATTGTCACTTGACATAATAGAAATTCAATACCTTTCAGATCTATGGTGAATGTCACCTAGTAGAGATGAGTTGGATGCAGGTGAGGTGCGTCTCTAGAGAGGTGGTGACTTGTCTCTTGATGGATCATTCTATTCTTGACGATGGCTCATTTGTCGATCAATTAGAGATAATTTTCTCAGAGAATATATAATCATTGTATTAAATTTTTTTATCAGTTACTAATGATGATCTGTAAAATAATATTAATTATTTTTTTGTCAATTGATGAATAATTACAATGACTTAATCATTAATTGTCACTCTACAGAAAAATTAAGAGATATAAAAGACATGAAATTTGGCTTTGGTCGATTTTGAACTTTCACCGGTTGTCTACTTGTGTGGGAGAGAGTTACAAATTGGTTGTAAACTTTTGCCTAGTGACGTCATTGAGACATTTCCTTCTTATAAGGTAGGGGCATTTTAGGTATAAAAATATGTAAAACTCACTGACAACCACTAGTATAAGTTTTATCTAACATCAATTATTTCTCGATGTTTGAGACATATATTTCTACCTCCTCGTATCTTCATTGTACTCTCTCTCACATATATATGTGTGTTTGACCACTCCTTACCCCACGCCCCACTGACCCTTGGTGATGTGGAAGGGGAGTGAGGTACACATGCCCTAACTAGTCCTTAGTCACTTGAGCCCCTAGCTTATGGGTCCCTAACGTGACTTATTGTTGTATAATAAATCACGTAAATTTAAAATTTATAAAACTAGAAAATACTAATTTTCAGATATTTAGAAGTATTTCTAAACAAATATATAAATAATAATTTAATAAAAATTTCAAAAATAATGGTAATTTTCTAGGTCGATTACAAGAATGTAATATAATATCAGGTAATTTTTCAAATTTTTATTCAAAGAATATGATTTTTTTATGAATTTTATACTACGATTTTTTTCGAATCATCTCCAGCAACTGTCACTTGACAGAGCGGAAAAACAACGGCTTTGCAGCTCTTTGGCGGCTATCACTTGACAGAGAGAAGCTGAATGGAGGTGGGGCGTGTGTCAGAGAGCTTCATCCTCAGGTCCACACAGCAAGAGAAGGCTCTTCATCATATCTAGTACACTCTCAAGAGGTGGCGACTCATCTCCTGGCGGATCGTCCTCTTCCCAACAACGACTTGTTTGTCGATCAATCAGAGATGATTTACCTGATAGATTTCTAATCTTTTTATCACGAATTGTTCAACAATTTTAATAACAATGCTCCACGAATCATGTTGACAAGATTTTTGCTGATGATCTAGTGATTCTAGCAGCTTTATCCTTCACCGGTAATTTGTAGGAAAGTCGCGATTTGTAGGAATCGAGTTTTGGCTCTAGGAGGATTCAAACTCGCACCGGTTGCTTGCCTTCGAAGCCTTTTAGGGAAAGGTGTGAGGCAGATTTAGTCCCACATTGCTTGTGTGCTAAAGTTTTGGGTGAATAAATATTAATATCACATTTCTAAGCAATGAGTCTCTTTCTTCTGCATGTACGACCACTCCTTGCCCCACAGTCGGCTGGCCACTAGTGACGTGGAAGTAGAGTGGCGCACGCTTGCCCCCATCAGTCCTAGTTGCTTGAGCCCTTGCTCGCGGCTCCCCTTTATTGCACTTTCGACCCACTTGCGAGCTCAATTGGCCAATGAGTCCCCCCATTTTGATATATATATATATTTTTTCTTCATTTATCTCAAAAATAAGACTATTAAAATCATATAAATTTGTAGAAAATCACATAATTAGCAAAAAAAATCACGTTAATCAACTAAAAACCACTTTTCATAATTTAACATAAATATAAGTCTATTTATCATGAGTTAAGATTAAAACTATAATATTTACTAATTATTAACTCATGATAATGAAGACTTATTAGTCCCCTAATTGTGCTTCCAGCTCATATGTATGTTCTTGTAGGCCAACAAGTCTCTCTTTATTTTCTTTATTTTATTATATCTAAAAACTATGATTATAAAAATTATATAAATTCACATAATTAGTTTAAAAATTCACATTAATCAACTAAAACCTATTTTCTTAATTTAACATAAATATAAGTCTATTTATCATGAGTAAAGGTTTAAAATATATTTTTAATTAATTATTAACTCATGAGAACGAAAACTTATTAGCATGTTCTATAATGGCTCGACTGATTGGAGCATTTTACTATCTTCTCAACTCAGCAAACCTATTACAAGGTTTGGGCCATCTCATTAATTGACCACAACCAACATAGCAACCCCCACCTAGATTCAAGAATGCCCCTAAGGAGCCCCAAGAAGATGACCTTTTAACCTATCATCACCTTAAGATTGTCTTTCAAAGGGAAAGAACTAGCTTAGTGGCTATACCACATAGAGTTCTTCAAATTGAACAACACACCAAAATAGAGCTATATCACCATTGCTTGCGATGAGGATGAAGGGAGAAGCCCTCGAATGGTACATCTATATGTTGGAACAATATCTCTTTTAGAATTAACTTGCTTTTCAGAACCAACTCCTACAATGATTTGAAGATCCCCATGCCAACAACCCTTATCAACAACTCTTTGACCTGAAGTAGTAAGGCACCATTGTAGAGTTCTTGCATGAGCTAGAAACTATTGTGGCCTTTCTGCCCAAGTTATCACTAGCCATATTATTTGGCACAATTCTCAATAGGTTGAAACATGAGATTGTGGTCGAGATCAGCATGTTCAAACCTTCAAAGCTAACTCGCATACTGGAGTTGGCTCAATTGGCTGAAACCCCACACCACCAAGTTGGGAAAATCAATCAATTATAAATTAGCCAAGCTTACATTTCTGTTCACTTTGAAGTAGGAAGAACGAGCAGGGCACCGACCCCTCAACTAGATGACCATAACACTCAACCCCCATAGCTTTCCTCTTGGAGGTAAGGCAAGTACAAGTGAAGGCCCCAAGAAGATGTTGAGACTTACTAAGGTAGAATTCCAAGATCAAAAAGTGAGGGGGATTATATTTTTGCTTGAATCATTGGTGGTGCTTGATGTGGCGAGCTCAAATGGTGAGTATCTTGTGGACATACATTGTTGGATATAGTGAGTGAATTGGGTGACATCAAACAATTCAACCCAATTATCATGTCGTGTTGTGACATAGTGCCAAAAAGGGTGAAAAGAGCTTACTAAAATCCTCCCATGAAATGTAGGTCATGATCGGAAATAATGTCTCATAGATACCCCAACGCTTGATTGTGTGTCAAGAAAAGTCATACCACTTCTTTTGCCTTATGGTAATAATTCACAAGTCCCAAGAATGACCTTAGCTCAAACAATCCCATAGGTATCGACCATTCTTCAATTATGTGCATCTTTTGGTCAATATGTACTTGTTTATTGCCCACCATGTGACTGAGGAATTCAACTTATGTAATGGCGAATGCACACTTCGCTAAGTCCAAGTATAACTTGTGAGTCTTCAATATTTCAAGCACATGTTGTAAGTGTGAAGAATGTTTATGCATAGTGCAGGTATATACCAAATGTCATCTAAGTATATGAGTGCACAAAATACGATAGGAGGATTTGTTAACTCACTAGGTATCATTGTAAATTTATTTGACCCGTAGTTCATAACACATGTTATCTTATGTCCATCCCCTTAATCTACACCTAATGGCTGCCATTCTTTAAGTCAAATTTTCAAAATATTTGGACCTCCCCAAGTTAGTTAAACGTATCTTCTACATTAAGCACTGAGTACTTATTTTTCATAGTAATTTTGTTCAAAGTTCTATAATCTACACAAGCTTTAGAGTTCTAGCCTTCTCCCATTGGAAAAGAGCTGGTGCATCAAAAAGTGGATGTGAGGGGCTGATGTGTCCTACTTTTAATAGTTCATCCAACTATTTTCTTAGCTCTTCCAAGTGTGCCGAGGGCATCTTGTATGGGGCTCTAGTTGGAGGGTGTTCTCCCAGTAATAACTTAATGACATGTTCGATATCTTATCTAGGCAATAGTGTGGAAGTTAATTTATCAAGTATGATGTTATGAAACTCCTTACGTAAAGTAATATTTGAGGGTGACCCACCAATCTTTCTTCTTTTCCCATCTCTTGTAGGGCGATGAAGAATGTGTTTGTGTCCCACCAAAGGTCGGACTTCAATCATATGATAGAGATCAATTGTGGCTTCACAGTCTCCTATATGGACCCCTGCACGAAACAAGACTAATTGCCTCTACAGATGATGTCCATTGTAGTGGAGGAAAAAATGGACTTTTTCTTGACTGAAAAATCTGAACTTAGTATGACGTAGAAATCATTCATCTGTAGGACTAAAAAATCAATGTATCCTTCTATGTACTCATTTGAATCTTCACATGGTGTGCCTACTTGACAGATGCTTAGGCTTCTAAATTGATGGCTTTGATCTTATTACTAGTTTGAACCAATCTTAATCTTAGATGATGGGCTTCTCTTTATAAGAAGTTGTAAGTCACCCATGAATGAAGTCAATGCTCTAGTTGAGATGTTGTTGCTTGTTGTCTTCAAGAAGAGCAATCTTCTTGGAGTTGCCGAGATGGTATTAGCTTACACTACATTCAAAAGTTGAATAATATTCAAATTGAGTACCTCTTTGATCATTGGTGGCAACTGTTCCTAACTTATAATTGGGTTGAGGTGGGCTCTCTCTATGTGATGGTATACTCAATTTTGGGCAATCAATATTACAATGAGAACCACTGCAAATTTGACACCCAATTCAATTTGGTCCTTTGATTTGCAAGTTGCCCCCATTCTGACCCCTATTGGATTGCTCTTGGCCACCCCTTATTGAGGTTGACCCTCCCCATCCACAACTATTATTATGACCTTTATTTTTCTTGAGAAGCCTCACAACTATTATATGACATAATAACACACATCTTGATTATCTCAATAATACTCACTGCTCATATCACAAAAAATGAAAATAGAAATCAAAATCAATTTGCCTCTATCCTATTACCTGCCAATCCCTGACAATGGTGTTATGTGATAAATCCTAAACTTAAGGTGTTGTGGGCCTCAAAGGAGATATTAATCAAAATGTTTATAAACCTAAATACTAATTATTTTTTAGTACATGTAGTTAGTTATGGTCATATCCTCTAGGATTGGATCCCAAAATAGGGTTGAGAGTCAATCTCTAGAGATAAATGGAGGTGAGATGATAAGAAGCAAGGGTCCAAGGTAAGGAGATAGAAGAATTTCTAGATCTAGGGAAAATATCAAAAATCTAAGGGTAGAAAATTGAGGGAAACATATGGTGATGGGTTAGTGGGTGAAAGAGGACTAAACTCTATACTAGACTTTAATTCCTACTCCTATCTAGTGCTGAAAATTGAGAGATAGTCATGCTAAACTAGGATTGAATACTCACCTTAGGGTCTTTGTCGCCAACTCTAGACTTTAATCATCTATAGATGAGTGCACTTCATTTCCCTTGCGAGCCTTAGACTTGCTCCATGCACTCCTCCTCTCTTGATCATTTAAGATTTGTTGAAGAAACTTCATTCAATCTAAAAGATGAGGAGAGAGATCCTTGAGGGTTTTGTCATGTGGCCAGCCTTGATCTAGGACCTTGAAGAATGGCCAAATAGGGTAAGTGAGTTGCAATAAATGCTCATGACATTTTTCTCTTTTCACCCCTCTCTAGTCTGGTGTCATTAGTTCCTCTCAAGGATTTTCTAACACTCTTAGCTTTGATCCCCTTGCTTGAAGTGGTGAAAGGTTTCATCTGGTCACTCTAGTGTGCGAAGCCTTGGTTGTGATTCCCACATGATTGCTTTGATGTGCGCACCATTGGCTATAGTTCTTGCTTGATCGCTCTAGTGTGCAGACTCCTGGTTGTGGTTCCTACCTAGTGCTACAATGTGCATACCTTTGATTGTGGTTCTTGCCTAGTTGCTTCGATGTGTAGACCCTTGACTGTAGTTTTTACTTGGTTGCTCTAGTTTACAAACCCTTGAACTTGGCTATTCCATGCCCATTACTCTTTTAGGGTTGCACCCATGTTTTTGGGCTCTCCATTGGGTATGATTTTCCAATATTCCATCTCCATAAAATTTACCTAAGTTATGCACACCTAGTAACTCCAAAAGAAACCATAGTTACTATAGATAACCCACTTGACTTCAAGGTAGTCAAGTGAAATTAACCCATAGAATTCAATCAAACCTCAAAAAGTAGAAAATTTAGATAATTGTGCATAGAATGCATGAATATGCAAGCATTTAATGATAATATACATGTTTCTTGCTAAATTTATATAGTAGTTCTTGAATTAATGATTCATTCACTCATGAATGTATCCATATTATCAACAATCGAGCAAACTTTCTATCATAAATTATTTTCTTAAAATATTTATGAGAAATATAGATTGCATGAGTGAATTTTATTTTTTGAGAGTATGACATATAAACACAATAAGCCTAATATTCTTCATGTTTTGTGCTGTAGTAAAGAGAAAAGTTCAGTGTATTTACTTGATTTCATGGCATGTTAAGATGACTGTGGATAGGTCAAAATGAGGTGATGTAGTAGACAAAACTGTAAGATAACTCCTCACGAATGTTAAAATTTCCATTGACAAATTTGACAAGACACATTTTATGATTTAATAGGCAGAACCTAGTAGATATTGAAAACTTTATTGAATACTTAAGCTTGAGTGAGATTCTTCTTGTCTCAACTAGAATATGTAAGAGGAGAAGGATGAAAACCTCATATACCAAAATAAGTAAACAAAATTGATAGTGTGGTGCCCCAAAGTGAGAAGAAAATACTAAGTCAGTCGTGTATAGGAAAAAACTATGTCTAAAAGGACAATGAAAGTTTCAATAGTTAGGTTATTAGACAAGGGAACTGATTATGCACTCTTCTTGTAAAAAAAAATAAAGTAAAAAAATAAGATTGAGGAAAATGCTTCGTCTTTGCCATATGACACAAATAAGAATTAAGGGCAATTAAACTTTGAATCTTGGTAAGAAGGTTGAGGATTGAAGAATTAAGAACACCCTTGAGTGTTAGATATTGAATTTTCAATCATCTACTACATAATGTTTGCTGGTCATAAGTGCAGATCTTATGCAATAATGTAGATGAAGCTTGAAATGCATCTAGAAGGGTATTCACACAATGGTGAGAAAAAATCACCCTTATGTCTCACAATAGAAATTTTATGTATGCCTAAGTCAAGTGACCAGAAAGTCAGCCTTTTTGGAACACATTATTATAAATTATTGTTAGTTTTAACTTAATCTTTCTATGATTATTGCTAATGGACTATCAATGTTTAAGTTGAGGGTGTGTTAATACATCATTTTTATATGATAAACAAGGTCAAATGTGATGAAATATTATCTTAATGAATAATAATTGTAATTAAATTGAATGAAATTACTAAAATAGATTTTACTATGCATGCTATGAATTCATATGCCAATCTAAATATTAGTCTTGAGAAATGAGAATTTGATGATCTAATTTGTACTAATATGTATATCCAAGGCTGATACCTTGAAACTACTTTAATTGGCAAGAAAACTTTAGAAATTTCAGAAGAAGGAAAATTATAATTTTAGTAGATTTATAATAATTTATAGAGAAATATTGGGCTTAATAGTGGGCTGATTACATCAAGCCCAATGTCAAGCCCAGTACTTGCCTATTATGATGAGGGGTTTTAAAGAGAAGAGAGAAGGAGAGAGAAAAAGGGGAGGGGGGGGAGTGGGGGCACGAGAACACTAGCTGGCCCCTATCCCCATGACAAGTGAAGATGTTGGCAACAATGGCTCCAATGGATGGCTACGACGACGACAACTTCTCCTCAATGATACATGGAGGTGAGCAAGGTGGTAGTGACAGATGGAAAGGGATGAGAATGGTGGAGATTAGGTTTTTAATTTTATTTTATTTTTGTTACTATTTTTTATGATTTAATTTTGCACTTGTTCTTCCTCTCTATTTGAGTCACACAAAGATCAAAAGGAGATTTGATTTCGAACAATTATTGTTTTTCTTTACAACTTTAATATACTACCCCATCCCTCTTTACATTTTTGAGTGATATAGGAAATCTGAAGAGGATTAATTTCTGCACCTTTGCTGTTTTATTGATTCGTTCAGCAGATGATGCCTTTTCACCCCTTTTTAAGGTTTCATTTCATTTTTGTTCGTTTTTATGTTCTTCTATGACAAGTGGGTGACACACTTGACATGGTGGAACTAAATTTTTTCTCTTTATTTTAATTTTTCTCACAAGTTATATACTTCCTTTTGCCATTTGATTTAATAAGTATTTGAGAACATAATTTGATATTAGGTTTGACATTCATACCTAAGGATTGCCTAAACTCTCCAGAATTTTAAAGCTAATCTTCACATGTTTAATTCAACGACTCAAATGCAATCAGTATGCTTAGTAGAAGATAACTAAAACCATACCTACTTAGACCATATCTTAGAAATAGAACGATTTGCACATTGTAGATCCTAAAAGTCTATCTTAGAGACAGCTGGTCAAGATGAACAAAACTAAGTGCCAATGGAGTTGCAAGATAACCCTCAACCTAGGGCAATGCAAGATTACTTCACACCAGGAAAATTTATCCCTAATCCTCTTATTAGAGCACCGATGGACCCTAATACCCAATAGGAGATAAAACACTGCATCCTCCAAATGTTGTCATGTTTTTACTATAATACCACAAAAGAACCACATAAGCACTTACAACAATTCTTGAGGTATGTGATATCGTGCATATCCCAAATCTCTCTAAGAATGCCATTAGAATGAGGATTTGTTCTCATTCATTGAAGGAAAAAGCCAAACATTGGCTTTCCACCTTAGAGCAGCAATTAGACACATGGAATGCCTTAGAATAGGAAGTTTATCATGTTGGAAAAACTCATGTCATAAGGAAAGTTATCCTTAGTTTTTCTCAAAGACTTGAACCAACTAGTATTTGATGAGCTAAGATGAATCTTATGGTAATTGATTCTTTGGTCTCCATATTACTAATATTTGTTTGACTGCACTTGTTACAAACAGGGAGATCAGCTGATTATAAAATATGTAAACATTAAATAACTATTATAAAAGTTAATCACTATAATTTAATTTTAGGTTTTTTAAACATTTGATTTAGTCACAATATATATCTTAATCAATTCTTCATTAAATTTTACATAGTCAATATAATATATTTTCTAATTCAAGTCTTCATTATCATGAATTAATAATTAATTAGTAATATATTTTACACCTTAACTCATGATTT